ACAAAAATTCTAAAAACTATAGTTTCGGCCTCTGTATCGATAATAATGACTATTTCAATAAGATTTTCCAAAAAAAATTTATGTACAGATTAGACTCATTTAGAATTTTATTATATGTACATTTAGATTTCAATTATATAACTGCTATATTTAAAGTCGCAATTATTTTAAGTTTTTTCACCTCGCAGTATCTTGGATATTGGCTGGAAATTAGCATAATAGAAAAACTAAAAAAAAACGAATATCTTCTAAGTATCATCAATTCAAAATTGAAAGGATAGAACCTGTGATATTTGGCCTTGAGGACAATATGGTTAACGAGGGTAATATAGAATAAGTAGCATACGAAGAAAACGAATGTTTGTTATCGACAGTTCTAGAAAGGATACACTTAGACAATGTTTACAGTACTGACTACTAAGTGAATAAATCGAGACAAACGCTATAAGTTAAGAAAATTGCAACGTTTGATGAGAATTCTCAAAAGAGTAGGACGTGGCTGTTTATTTTCGAGGCACGGTATAGTCTACTTAAGTTATGATTTTCCTCGACTTTCGCGTTAGCGCTAGTAACATATGGATATATACAATTTTTGCATTTATGCATATTGTATGCATTTTTCTAAACAGAGTTAGCATTTAGAATTTTTGTTGCATGCTAACAAATATAGTGACCATCTGGAATAGGTGGTTTTCAATATTATGGGGTTCATTATACTAGAAAAACCTTATTAGATCAATAAAAACAATTGAAAATCGCAATTCTACGAGGATGGTTCTTGCGATATTAAACATTGTACAAAAGACCATTATGTTCATTACATCATAACTTAATAAAATATTTTATGGTACATATTGGACTGGTTTTAAAAAAGGAGAAGCAACTTGATTTTTTTATGTTTTAACCGATATCTTTGCCGCATATTGTATATTTGTACATAATTATCATATTTTTTTATGAAAAGATTGGTCAAGGAGGCCTTATATAAATTTAAAAAAAAAAAACTTTTAAGGAGACTTTGGAATCAATGAACTAGTTGATTTAAAAAGTGAACATTATAAAGCAATATTAAGGCATGGTATATCAAAGCATAACTAAATTAAAATTAGTAAATCAATACAGCCGAATGATTAACAAGATAAATTAAAATTATAAAAATGAAAGCTTTTTAAAGGAATGTCCATATAAAGTATTGTAGTACTCGTTTAGTTGCCGAGCGAAGTTAAATAAACTTGTGCATGTATTTGCGTCTAATGACGTATGTTGCGAGCGGACGCGCACTTCGGCAAATTTAACTTAAACACATTTAAATCTTCACAGAGAAGTCTGTTTGAAGAAATTATTAGAGTGCATTCAATTATACTATGAGTATGTTTTCTTGTTGGCATTGTTTATTGATGTCAGACAATTTTATACATAATGTAATAAAGAATGGATAATCTAATACAGAGAATGGAGAATTAGTGATATTAAGTAACTACGGTTAAAGTACTAGTATACCTGCAACTTTTGCCCTATAAATTTTACCGCTTTTAGCTTTTAGACTACCTATGTAAGTAAACAAACAAACATACAATTTCAGACATTAACACACTTCATCATCTAGTTACATGGTAAGCTACGAGGCTTGTTTTATGGACACCAGATACACTACACATATATAACTTTAAAATATTGGTGCTCATCACACAAATTAATTTCAGCGGGACTCGAACCCGCGACCGATGGCACAATAAGTACGGTCACTACAAACTGAGCCAAACGTGTGTCGCCAAATCTAGGCAAAGACAAGAAGTTTTATATTGTACTGCCCACGCTTTACTCGGGTGCGTCCCTAGATGCTACGCAAATTCTACGTATGTACATCTAAATCCGCATAGCCGCCGTAAGAATGTTCTTAATACTGAAACATAAACATATACACATACAAACCTTTGCATTTATAATAGTAGTCAGAAATAGACGCGAATTTTTAAATTGCCTTTGGCTGTATTCCGATCTTTTGTGTGCATCGTGCAAAATGATTACACTGATTTTAAAGTGGCTTTTCTTACAGTTTTTATTACATTTAAAATATAGCTATGAATATTCCAATCTATTTGATTAAAGGTTGTGGTAGCCCAGAGGTAACGCGCTCACTTGGGACATCGAGTAAAGCGGGTTCGATTTTCGAGTCTCGCCTCTGATATTTTCAATATCTGTGTGAAATATTTCATAACCAGGTTGGAAATTTACCTTGAAAGAAAAATATCGTGAGGAAACCTGCATGTATAAAATAACCTAGCAAGTTTTCTAAAGACATGTAAAGTCTACCAATCCGTACTTGGCAAGCGTGGTGGACTAAGGCCTGATCTACCTCTTGCTGAAGAGAGGTGCGTGCCTAGTAATAGTGTTAAAAACGGCTGATTATATCATGTTTGCTGTAAAGTATTCGAAATGCCAGGAATCGAAAATGAAAATAAAACATGAAAAATAAAGCCTTAGAAAGATTTTTTTAATTCGAAAGTCATATTTTTTAAGTGTACGTAAAAATTTTACAAACGAACTGGATACTAAAAGTCCCCTCTCCATAAAGTCAGCAAAATTTTAATTGTATTCATGAAAGTCGATGGCGGTGATGAGTATAATTGCAATTATCGTGGAAAGATTTTAATAAAAGAGCTTTTAGTGAGTGAGAAAAGGATTCCGTTGTTTTGATTACCTTCGTTTTAGAAATCGTTTTGAAAATCCAAGAATTAAATAGTTATGCCGACAAATATTAAAAATGTGTAAGTTTGTATGTGTGTAAGTATATGTACCTATATTTGTTCGTTTGTTTATTCGTTGTTTGTTTATTTGATTGTAACATCTTTATGTTGAAATGACGGATTTGTTTGATATGATTTAGAATATCACATACTTTTTATGGCTAATTTTAGGCACTCAGGAACACATCTCAGGAAAGCGAGAATAAGTTGCTATATCTATATCTGTCACCATGTAATATATTATACACAAACTGTGTGTGCCTTATTACTAAGTCTCTATAAGCTTAAAGCTAGAGTTTAGGATTATGACCAAATACCTCACGCTGATTTTAGCTTGCAACTGTGACGGTTGCAAAACATGATATTTAAAATTCATTATTGAATTTCCAACTATGGCAGAAGAGGAGAAAATGAGGAAAGGAAATAATAAAAAAAAGATTAACTATTAAAATAATTCACACGATATGGACTACTAATATTTCGTTGCCAGACTGAATATGGAGCAACTAACTGACTGAAAATAAGATACAAGATACCAGAGAGAACAGAGTTCAGCTAAGTTCGTGGAAAAACTCCAGCTAGAGTATCCTGTATACGTAGTTAAAGGAGTGCCGACCGTTAAAAGTTCACAATCTTTGTGGATACGGAGTTTATTAAGTTTTTTAGGTTTACTTTAAACCTGTGATTATTATTCTTTAATTTTTAGAACTTTATCTTACTTTGTGTAGTTGCCGTTTCTATTTATAATATTATTAGCGACTTTTCCACGCATCACCCGGGTGTATTCCTGGGTGCTTAACAGTAGCTTATGTGTTACGCTAGGTCATAGACTATCTGTGTACTAAGTTTCATCCAAAGCCGTCCAGCCGTTTCAGCGTGAAGGAGTAACAAACATACACAGATATAAACCTTAGCATTTCTAATAATAAGCAATGTGATTGTCCTTAGGTTAATATTAAAACAAGAGTAATTTAAAAAATATGTAATTTTCATTTATGGCTTGGTACTTACATATTATAATATACATATTATAATATACATATTATAATATACATATTATAATATACATATTATTAGCTTAAATGATCTATATTTGTGAGCAGAGCTTCATATAATTCGGGTTCCACCACTTCCTTATGTTTTTTATTTCCCTATGATTATGAAAAGGGCCATTCAGACGCTCGCATAAATCACAAATACCTTCGTCTCGGGGCGCTTCTTCATACATATAGTAATTATGCCACCTGCAATTTTTTTAATGCAAATTAACAGACGAATGAAGTCGTGGTTAAACTAATACTTAAATATTAATTTAAACATGACTTTATTCGCGTGTTTTTTTTTCAATTTTCTAATATTTTTCTAACCTATTCACGAGTGAGGCGGCGTATTTCATGGAGACTAGCCTCTGTGCGTGAGATTGTGCAAATCCAATTTAAAGCTATATTTTTACCTCAAAAAAAATTGTTTCAATGTAAACTATATAATATACGTTTAGTTGTTAGCAGGAAAAAAGAGGGTAAGGCTAGGTAGCCCAGTGGTAACGTAACCAAGTGAAGTGAGTTCAAATCCCAAGACCCGTGCCGGAAAACATCTTGAGAAAACTTGCATCTCTAAGAGAATCTAGCAAGTTTTCAACACATATGTGAAGTCTGCCGACCCCAGCCAGCGCGGCGTGGTGAACTATGATCTGATACGCCTCGTATGATGCTCGTAGGATGCTCTTGCCCAGCAATGGGATACAATACAATACAAGAGAAAAGTGATTAAACTAATAACATTGAATAGATAAGTAAAATTTAAAAAATACTTTAATTGTTTTTAAATACCACTTTTGTGGTAAGTACTTATGCATGTATGTTAAGTTTATTAAAAGTACGCACCGAAAATATTCATAGTAAATTTTTGGATTTTTAATAGCGTTCATTATTGCAGAGGTGATTTTGCTCGTGTCTAGTATACTAGCATCAATATATGATCCAGGAGGCAGGAACCTGTAAAATACATAAGTTATTTAATGCATCTCTACCCCAATCTATATTTTTTTTATTTTTTTTAAATATAAAATCATGTTACGATATTTTAAAAATAAACAAATTATTTATTAAAAATAATACTTAATAAAAACACTCTACATTAAAAATCAAAACAAAAAATATGTTTTATTTGTTTTAACTGTAAAATTAACAAAATCGCGTAAATTAATTAACAGTTAATATTAGTCTACAGACCCACAAAATAAAAATATTTTTACCTTGAATAATTAGCACCTCCAAAAACAACAGGAACAGCATAGTTTAATAGTGGATATAGTAAATGTTCTGACACATAATCTTCACCCAGACTATCTTCGAACAAAAAATAAAAATAATAATATTTTCTCAACACCAAAAGACATTCTTCTATACGATTTCTATGACATGTGAATTTTCCACACCACCCATAAGTATCGAGTGTAAGATTAGCTTTCGAAAGAGAAGAATTGATATTAGACACTAAAGTATGCAAATTATCGACAGTGTTACAGTTCTTTATAAACCACGCTGCGGCAATTTTTTTCCCTTTTAATTTACTTTTCACTTCATTGGATGTTGGAAGCATTTGGGAAATCCAATGCATATTAAGTTTTGGTCCAATTAAGTTTCCTCTTAGGTCCGTAATCCTAAATCTAGACCTAATTATATCCGAGTCCAGTCTATATGTCCAAGTCAAATTATAATAATTATCATATTTCTCACTACACAAGGGAAAAGTTACTGCAGATTCTGACGTTGAAAAAATGTAATTTTGATATTCAGCTCTCAGTAGAGGATATTGGTCCCAATCATTTTCAATATCAAACAGAATCGCGTCGTAGTGTCTTAGATCGAGTAGAAGACGCTTATCAGTTGTTAAATAACAATTAATATAAGTACAGTTGTTTGTAGTAAACGATCGTTGTCCTTTACTGAAACTAGAAAATCGATAAGTTGGCTCATTACTCCACTGTAGTATGAATTTCAAATCGGTAGCAAACCTTATAGGTTTTTGAAAATCCATATCCATAACAGTCCAGTTTGTTTTCAGTTTCTTGAGCTCTCGCATTATTTTTTTTTCATTCCGCAAAGATTTCACTAAATAATTATATTCCACTACTCCATATTTGTTTTCAAACAAAAGATATTTGACAGAATGTAAAAAGATTGCCAGATAAATGCTAAGAAAAATTGCTTTAACAGTTTTGCACATGTTTGGTAGCGTATGCAGTATCAAATGAAATTCTCAATCGTCTGTTTGTAAGCATTTCATCAAATCGCAAACATCGCTCCAAGAATTCAAAATACAGTACCATTTCTGGCAAATATGTGGACAATATTTAATTAAGGTAAAACAGGATAGGTAAAGAATCCCACGTATGCTAATATAGTTTGGAGTATAGTGGACAGAAAGCTAAATATCGCAATTATACCAGACGCGAAATTAAATATGAAAATCTCTTTGTACGGACGGCCGCGTTTTTCGTCCTTCTCTTTACGCCAGTGATATGCAAATGACAAAAAATAGGCAAGCAGTGCTCTTACCTGACATAAAGGAATTTACGTTTATATTGTTTCATATAAGGGGAATGTTTCATACCAAATATTGTAGTTTTAAATTAGAAAGAGTACTTGGCATATTATTGTTTACATAAAAATAGTTTTAAAACTTTTGGTTTCTATTCTTCATAGTTTTTATTATTTTTTAGGGTATGTATGTACATATTACATATGTATGTATATATACAGTATATGTAAAACTTTGTCTTGTGTTTTTCGTTATGGTTAATTTTAGTAGAGTGGGTGAGTGAGACTATATTATATGCATTAAAAGCAGTTAGTTTCTTTTATTAACACAAAAAAAGTATATAATACGTAAATATTTAATTTGTTTGTACACTTGAAAACTTTACAACGAGCAACATTAAAGTCCATCAGCGCATAATGCTTAGATTAAGTCTCCACCTGCTAAATCCATTAAGTTTATTTATATTAACTATTTAACTTCAAGTTTAAGACGTAACGTTAACATTGTGTATCTTTTTCGTTAATCGCTACCGAAATTCACGGCTGGCAAAACTTTTTTTTGCCTCAAAAGCGAAGCTCTGAATATTAGCAAAAAGTCATTAAAAGTAAGGACGCTGTTCATCATTGCGGCGAAACCTCAAAGTCGGTATTAAATCGGTGAGTTGGTGGGACCTTAAGTTATAAAAGTTCATTCATTTAACGGTTGTGCGCGTTCGGGCCCGGCTGAAATTCAAATTATTATATCGTATAACTACGATTTTACGTGTTATGTAAGACTCTACTTTCTTGAATGGAAAGTAAGATTAATATTTTAAGAAATTTTGTGTGTACGAAGAGTTTGTTACTTAAACAAATTTTATAGATGTGGTAATTTCTATTTATTTCATGGTATGTGTATTGTAAGTTTTCTTTTTCTTTCAAGTTCTGAACCTATTTATCCTATTGTACAAAATACAATAGGATAAGCGGATTTCAAAGTTTATATAACACTAATGTATTATATTTCAATTATTATGTTTTTGACTGACTTACACGTACGTGTATCAATTTAATTTGAAAAATAAAACGATTTAAGAATACGTCTGTATCATGGTATACGCGTTATTTTATATGAAAAGTCCCTAAAAGCTCTTTTAGGTGTGAATTCGGTTGTCGAGTAATATGAAAGTTAATACTTACCACATGGTGATATCATATATAAAATTTAATTTCTTACTACTTGTACAGGTGAATGAATCCCAAACTATCCCGAACGGCTTGGGCGCTATCTATTGTACTTGCTTATACCTAGTAAGTACGAGTACTTTCAGGCATTTCTATCAATAAGGGCACCGAGTTTGCAGTTTAACTCAATCACATAAACTGAATCTAAAAGCCATAATTCCTAATACCGATATGTTTTAAGCGTACAATGGATGATGTCCTGACCAATTTCGGCCACGGCAGCCAATCTCATTAAGCGCAGGAGATATTATAGTGCACAAATGTGTACGTAGACGCACCGGTCTGTTACGCCTCTACAGAAAGACTCAATAACTAAACTTAGTCCGACCCGGGACTCGAACCCAGGACCTCCGGGTGTGCAGTCGTACTAGCTAGCCACTACACCACCGAGGCAGTTGTACAATGGATGGATACTAGACACTAGTAATGTATTATGTTCATGTCTCATATAGGTTTGACCCTATAACATATATCATAGCAATCGTCACCAATGCGACCTATATATTAGTTTAAAAATAAACTTTACTTTGAAAATGAAGAAGTTCCACAATGTAAGTAAAACGAAAACCAAAGATAAAAATATATTCCTAATATATACAATTTAGGTGCCATTATTTTTCGTTATTTGTATTCAATGTGATAAAAATTTATAGTCCACGCGATTTCAGTGCAATCACGACGCGCTATTGAAGAACGAATTTCTTTTATAGCTAAGAAGTCGGCACTTTTATACTAATGATGTTAACTTTGACGGAAATAATCTTCTAGAATAATTTCATCATATTTTTTATCATCATATTTATTTTCATTTTATGCAGATTTTAAGGTTGAAGTATTATTAATGTTAATACACGATGATATATACCGAATAAGAAATTCAAATTCGAAGAGTATCTTAAGTACATTTTATTTAATATTTTTATAATATTCATATATGAGTACCTAATAGGTGTCTGCTATTTAATAAAACCTTAAAAAAACCAACTTCCAGGCACTAAAATGTAAAAAGTAAGTAAACGGGGGTTCTCATTTAGAATAGATACCTAATCAGATATTTTCGAAGTCGGTGCCAGCCGACAATATTTTAAGATATGAATATCTAATAAGTAAATATGTATTTTACGTATCGAAATATATTAGATTTGCTTTGCATCGGCTCCTCCTTTTTGAAAGTCGGTTAATAAAGACTAGCCTATTTTAGTTAAAGTAGCCTGTTTCACTGAGACTTGCCATGAGCTGTGCGGGAAATATGTACCTATTATAGTGTTCAAAGATGGGCGCAAAATTACCGCTCAAACGCATTCGTGTTTTACCAACACGTGACACTGGCAGGAAATAATATATCTGATAGCGCAATTCTAAGCCACTAATGAAAAGAAAAAAGGTGGGTGCAAGCGCAAATTCTCTGTCTCTTTTTTTTTACTTTCGCAGTTCAGTGAGAAAGAATCTAACAGAAGTGGAGAGAGATGAGTATAGTATGCGGAGAGAGTAACAACGGAACCTTCCTCACTCCGGGTTTCGATTGAAAATGACTTAGGCAGAAGGCAGAAGAACTAGTAAATATTTTTCGGTCCGAACTGGGACTCAAATCCAGGATCAGCTATGTTAAATACGTATACGGAAAAAACTCGAAGATTCCGACAAACTTTCCATACTCGTGTATTCACTTATACTCCATATACATACATATTTATAACTAGCATTGCCCGCGGTTCCGCCCGCGTTCAGATGACAAAATATCAAATTCTTAGGTTTTACATATTAGTATACTCTTACAATTCAGTTTTTGTATTTTGTCTCAGAAATGAGATATTTTCCCGCAGTAAAAAGTATCATATAATATGTTGACCCGGATAACCAGCTATCATCATACCAAATTTCATCAAAGTCTGTCCCGTGGTTTTCTCGTGATGCGGTAACAAACAGACAGACAGAGAGAAAGACAGACAAAAATTCTAAAAACTATAGATTCGGACTCTGTATCGATAGCGATGCCAATTTCAATTAGATTTACCAAAAAATATTTAATATAAAGGTACGACTTAGTTACAATTTTATTATATGTATAGATTGAAAGTGACACTAAAGTAGACTACATTAACTAAAGAACACTAATATTTTGTTATATTTCAGTTTTTGTAAATCTTTATATGTATTTTTGTAAATAATAACATAAAAGCCTTGCACTCTGTTTGATATTTAATATGTATCTTTCAATCGTGCAGTAGTGAGGTACGATTATACTCGTAGGAAGTCGGTAACGATCTTACTACGCTTTTATTCTATCTATACCTTTTTATTATATAAAACTATTACCAAATTATTTTGCAAAAATGCATTTTATCTATTATTTATTTATTATTTTTCTATTTTATCATATATTACAACAAGTAGTAAGCAAATTTTGTGCCTTACTGTTTTATAAGCAAACACAAAACTTGATAAGAAAGTATAATATACAAAAATCATTTTCAATAAAACACAGTATTATTGGAAGTTTTCATATTGAAATTCGAAGCGGTTCAGAATATTTCTATAATGCCTACATTGTGTTGAATTTAAAACTTTTCGACTCTTTCGAAACTTTTGTTTCAGTCGGTTTCCGCGCCATCGGCCGTTATCCTATTAGTGATAATTAAATCCAATGGATTCGGCGGCTTTAATTTCATTATCGTGTTAACCCTTTAAGTTTTCAACGTTTTAATCCGACCCGTGTAATTCGGACCATCATTTCGAGGATTGACTTCCCGTCGATGGCCCATTGATTTTAGTTTGACGATATGAATTATTTAAATTTTGGCGATTTTGTAATTTTCAATTTTAAGGGCTGAAATTATTTTAAACGTAATATGTATATATTTATTCGTTTCTAACAATGAAAAATATTAGTGTAGCTATATTATGATATATTATTATTGGTAGCATAAGTTAATTTTAAATGGGAATTTGTTTCACGATCTATTAAATAATATTAAAAGTTTATTTTTATACATGCTTATATAAAAATTACGCTCATAAATAATTATAATATATTATGGTCTCTTTTTGTTGTTATTTATTAACCGACTTCCAAAAAGGAGGAGGTTCTCAATTCGCTAGATTTTTTTTATGTGTGTTCACTGATTACTCGAAGACGCCTGAACCGATTTGGAATTTTTTTTTGTCTTAAAAGGTATACTTCCCAGATGATCCCATATAAATTTTATCGAAATCGGTCAAGCGGTTTTTAAAAAAATCCACTATAAATATATTTTTAAATAAATTGTTTAATCAAATATGTTATTAAAAAACTTTCTTCTTACAAATTACCTGCTTATAACGTCTACACTAAAAATGAAAAAATAAAAACTTTTTAACAAAAAATAAAAACCGACTTCCAGGCACTAAAATGTAAAAAATAACTAAACGGAGGTTTTCATTTAGAATAGATACCTAATCAGATATTTTCGAAGTCGGTGCCAGCCGACAATATTTTAAGATATGAATATCTAATAGGTAAATATATATTTTACGTATCGAAATATATTAAATTTGATTCTAAAAGAAAACCTCCGTTTAGTTATTTTTTACATTTTAGTACCTGGAAATCGGTTTTTATTTTATTTTTTTAGGTTTTTTTTTACATAATATATTGTAACGTTTTAACTAAGACTAGATGTCAACACTCGTTACATACGAACGATGTTTGGCTAATGTCACGGCAAGATTTGCAAGTATTTGAGTATTACTGACGCATTGAAATCATTACAAAGGTTCAAAGCTCGCAGCCCTGAATATAAAATTATCACCTCTCTGACTCAGCCGGTTTAACTTCATTTTAATAAAAACGAGAGGAAAAAATTACAACGCCAATGTCTCCGACGAACGCTGAGCGAGGTTTTTACGTTCGACGTAGTTCTGGATTTTATTCGATTGCTGTATTACTAGAGGAATGAATAATATAAATTGCATTATTAAAATTGGGGTAATTTCATTTTGGATTTGAATTAAAATGGATTTTAAATTGCTGATTTAAGTTATTTATATAAACTTTTTAATAAAAACCGTACAGAAACTGCAAAATAATTTTGAAACGGTAAATTTTAATGTAATTTTGTTAAATTTTACTTGTAATTTTTAGGGGTGGATTTCTTTTTCTTCATGTGACCTATAAGGTAATAGGTATGGTACATATATACGAACACAGATTTTGCTCACTTTTGGAAGTTGTTTAAAAATGATTAAAATCAGTTCACAATAATGAAGATATCGCTTTCGACGCCCAAATTAGTATTTTTTATAAATATTGAAGTTAGTCAAAAAGGCGTGTGAAATCGCTGGCCTTAAGCATGATGTCATTCTAGAATCTTTGAAAAATATTTTTAAAAATTGCATTGAATCATTATCTCATAAAATCATAATATTTTCTTTTCGTTTCGTAAACTTTTACGTTTCAAAAGCATGGTGCATGGATCATTTTATAAATTCTTTAAATTTAAATGTTTTCATTTGTAAATCATACCCTCCAAATATGGTCATAGCGTGTATTAGGATCCATATTATATATTTATGTATTTATCGTAAATCGTAATTCATATGTACCCATAACAATAGTATTATTTATTTAAAAATCTCATCAGTTCAATTATTTAATATTTTTTAAGGCCATGTAATTTACTTTCACAATAACTTATATTAAACAATGCATATCTAATTTCATCTCCATGCTGCAGTAGTTCAAAAGTGCCAGAAATTTCATTATAACATTCACCGCGTGAGGGCTTTCAAAGCCCAAAGCCGAAATAATATAAAGCTTATTCTAACGATAGCTTTTGTGTATTCGACAATATAATATAAAATTACTAAAACATCTAAGATTATGTTAATAAAATTTGTTTTAAACTAAAGAGTTTTACCGACTTTTTAAGATTATTTAATTTACCGACTCCTTAATCTTAATTAAGGTTTGGCGATTGGCCATGATATCGCGTAATATACACATGAAGTAAATAAAATCGGATAAGTGCGAGTCTGACTCGCACACGAAAGGTTCCGTAGTACAAAAAATGAAAACAAGTTTATAATCACCAAAAAATATTTGTGCTCTATCACTTTGCTTCTTGCCAAAGTTCATGATTCTAGATTAACGGGAAGTGTCCTGTAGGTTTTGATTTATTTGCGAGTGTCAGAATATGCGGCTGTATAATTTGATTACGTTGACTTAGAAGTTTGGTTTTTTTTACAGCTTTAACGGATTGTAGACTTGAGTATTTAATATTAATTATAACTTGATACTTTCAAGCGTTTTATTTCTAAGAAATTTATTGTTAACTGTAACACCGGTGTACCCGCGGTCGTTGAGGGATTATACGATTTTTGGTCACAGCGGACAATCTCACTGTGATCTTTGAGATATTAGGATAGTGCGCAAGTGAGATGTCAATCTGACACTACAATACGGAGAGAGATTACCAAGTGTTTAAATATTGCAAAATAAAAATAAAACAACAAAATTAAAAAATGTAACGTTTACTTTTAATGAAAGGCTAAAAGCAAGACTTATATCGGTGTTTTCCTACGAGAACAAGTAAATGTAGTACAAATAAACAAATGTGGCAAACTTTATTTCATTGCCATCTGAAAACTCGACCATCTTTCAAGAACAATAAAGAAATTTTAATATTAAGATCTTTATATAACATAATTTTAATTTCCTACTTTTAATTCCAAGGAGAGCTGTGAAACTATGTGATAAAGTCGAATTTTCGAAGTCCACGTTTGGCTTTAGCCCAAAAAATTAATTGGAGACAAGAGGCCGATGTTTCAGCGCGAGTACAGGCTGTAATTAGAGCAATCGGCCTGAGTCACGTCTACCAGAGTGTCGCTAAGTGTGCTCCAGGATCTATTGTTGTTCAGACAGTTAGGGCTTTAGTAAATCGGTCATAGCTAAAATACGTTGAAATAGTAATTTAAGTAACATTAAAATGTTATTTGTAATCGTAAAACAATATGAATGTTTTAGAGATATCAGTATAAAACTCAGTTATTTGGGCATTTAAAAAATATGAAATCTTTGTTTTTATTAATTAACTTAACTTGCTTTAATAATAGAATCTTGTTACACTTAGTTTTCAAATGTCAATAAAAAAAATTCCATTCAGATATATAAAATTGTAAAAAATCTAAAAAATCGTCGTTTTTATATTTAAATATGCCTAACAGTATTTAAAAGTGGTATCAAATATATTTATACGGTTCACATTTGGCTGTAACCCAAAAAATTAATTGGAGGCTGGATTGTAAGTGTTCGAAGCTAATAGCGAAGCCATCATGTGTAATTAGTGCAATCAGTCGGAATCACGTATAGTCAATCAAAATCATTAGTCAAGTGACGTACGGAGTAACCTCTAGTTTTCTATTTTTAATATTATACTAGCGGTTCACCCTCGCTTTGTTCGAGTTTGTCGCTAGGTATGTTATTAGCCAGCGTTGGTCATATAAATTTTAATTTTTTTTTGTTAATTTTTCAGTTGTTTTACTTATGACTTATTATTATCCTATTCCAGACTAAGTGAAATCCAAAAAATCAAATATCATAAAAATTGGTCTAACCGTTCTTAAGTTATAAATGGTCTAACTAACACGATTTTCAACCGACTTCAAAAAGGAGGAGGTTCTCAATTCGACTGTATGTTTTTTTTTTTTTATGTTTGTTACCTCAGAACTCCGTCATTTATTAACCGATTTGGACAATTTTTGTTTTGTTTGAAAGGGTATACTTCCAGATTGGTCCCATTTAAATTTCAAAAAAAAATACCACCCCTAAGGGTGGAAAAACAACTAATGATGAATTTAACCTACTTCTATTTGTCATATTGACTTGAAACTTTGCAAGTATTTCTATTTCCGTTGATAGTACAGTGGTTCGGTAATGTTGACCTGATTTGATGGCAAGGCCAGAAGGTGGATAGGTGGAACTCTTCAACGGCTAATAGTAGATACTTTGAGTTTGGGCTTATTTTGTTTGATTTGACAAGCCTAACACGTTAAAATCCTTACTTTGCTACTACTATCTACACTAAAAAGGGAAAAATAAAAACTTTTTAACAAAAAAATAAAAACCGACTTCAAACAAAAGCACTAAAAAGTACAAAATAACTGTTTGGTAGTTTTCATTTACTATACATACCTAATCAAATATTTTCGAAGTCGGTGTGCTTTGGCTAAGTAATTAAAGCCTACCTATTAATAACATACCTTATCAAATATTTTCGAAATCGGTGCCAGCCCATACAAAGCAAAGCACACCGACTTCGAAAATATTTGATTAGGTATGTATAGTAAATGAAAACTACCAAACAGTTATTTTGTACTTTTTAGTGCTTTTGTTTGAAGTCGGTTTTTACTTTTTTGTTAAAAAGTTTTTTGTTATATATATATATATATATATATATATATATATATATATATATATATATATATATATATATATATATATATATACTTTGTTTTATATTTTCTCTTTATTAAAACTTTCCGTGTACCTTAAGGAACATACGAAAAAAGTAGCTGAATTGGCCGAGCCGTTCTCGAGTTTTGCGGTTAACAACATTCATTTTTATTTGTATAGATTTTTTAGTTAATAATATATTTCTTTTCTTAGAGACAGGAAAAACAGAAAAAGTGCTGAGTTTAAATTTCAGAATAAGGAAAGTTATTTACTGCGCTGACGCTCTTTAAATTGATGATTCCAAAGTGTTTGTAATGAGTCTATTTGAGTTAAGTTTCATTTCACTATACATCTAGTAAATTTGCTTGGTGATAAATTCTTAGCAATTTTCTTAAATAATAATATACTATACATAAAAACGGTTGGTACATGTATTTTATTTAACATATCAAAAGAAGTATGAGAAGTCCTTATTTATTAAATAGATTTAATTTGTTAGTACCTTAGTGTTAGATGACATTAATTTAAAAAAAAAATAGGTATTCTAAAACTATTTTTGTACAATTCCTAATCTTCGATCGTAACCTTAATTAAATTGATACATAGTTTAAATTTTATCATTATCGAAATGTATATGAGAGAATACGTCTAAAGGAATCAAATACGTTTTTAAATGATTTCACTCTAGCAGCAGGAAACAAGACGTCCAAAACACCTTTTTGATGATGTATTATAGGAATGACTTTTATAGGTTCGTCAGATTCTTCTGTAATATGCGATGTAGTCGATTCTTCTGTGCTTTTCTTTATAAATGAAGAATTTAACAGCACTTTCGGAGGTGCTGTTATTCGAGATATTTTTAGTACTTTTGGATGAAATTGAACAAACTGGGATGATAAACTGTTAATTGGGAAGTCCGTCTGTTCTTCACTTGTTGGGGCGTTAGCAAGTCTATTTAAAGTATTCGTATAAATGTCTTGGAAGTTGACTGATGATGGTACAAATGGGTTGTAAATATTTGTGAATGGCTGATCTTCTTCAGTCGATTGAGTATCAATTTGGACCTGGAATGCAATGAGGTTTATGTTGATTATTTAAATGAATCATATTTGATTTCAGTTAAATATATGTACATTAATATTATAAAAATATTTTTAGTCATTGCCCATTCCCTTATTACGTTTTAAGCTTTAGCTGCTCAAGAGATTTCGATGAACTTTGATAAGGACATAGATTGTATTATGCGCAGAGGAGTAGTGACCATAAACCATTATTTAAAATGTTAATGTGTATTAAATAATATATATTTGCGCAGAGATATTACAATGCACTAGTGTGCGCACACTCTCTATGCCTGTCACTCACATACTCCGGTGGGACGACTGCTCGATACGATCAGTGAGAGTTAAGGCGCAGGACAGACGGCTTTACGTTTCTCCGAGACACGGGGGTGAAACACCGCCAACTTCCCAACTCCGGGCTGTTACTGAAGCTTACTAAACAGAAAGACTCAGTAACTAAACTTGGCCCGACCCGGGACTCGAACCCAGTTACTCCGGATGTGTAACCGTACATGCTATCCAAAACACCACCGAGGCAATTATTAAACATGATAACATTCTACAATTGTTAATACAAAAAAGTAAAAAGAAATATAAAGATGATATTTCGACGGTTTGACTAGTTTAATAAGTTATTTCAATATATTTTTATTAACCTAAACGAATATTATTTTGTCTAAGCCTGAAAAAAGAGTTTTTATAATTATATGAACAAAGTAAAGAAAAGAGTAATTTTCTGAAGATATTATTATATCAAAATATTTTATTAGACATTAATGCCATTAGTTTCTGTTTATAAATAGTGGTAGTATTAGCAAGAGAAACTACTTTACACTCTAGGAAAGTAGTATTTTATGTGCTAGCTTATCATCTTGCTAAGTTGCATCCAAATTCTTGTAATAATTTTTGCCGAAAGGATTAGCAGTCATAAAAACATACACAAACTTTTACATTTAATTAATTAGTAGGGTGAGATAAAACAGAATTTGTACTCACTAAATTGAGGGCGTATATGGCCAAAATAATATTGGTTAATAATGCCATATTAACGTCTGATTCTTCCTTCCACCTACTTAATACTGGGAAACAAAGACATTGTTAGTCTGTTCGTCGGTAAGTGTGAGAAACCTCTTGTTTTAAATATTGCTACAAAATACAATTGTGTTGATGGAGTTTAAAAGAAAACTGCATTGTCTACGAGATGACTCAATTTATTATGAACGACCTACGAACTAAGCGATCTTGTGAGACGACTAACATTTAGTTCATGATCTTCTTTCATAATATTTCAATGTGTCTAACATATTGTAATTTTATACTTGTATCGTTTTCATGATTTAATTTGATGAAAATATTATTGCTATCCTTTTCTGATTTGAAATAGTATTATATCAAAATGTTCTGTTTCAATATCATAGATTGATTATCTAATATCGTTTTAGACCATTACGATGTTTATAACATTTATTAAGCATCTATTTTCAATGCTAATCCATACTAATATTATAAATAATGAAAGTGTTTGTTTGTCCTTCTTTCACGTCGAAACGAATTGACAAATTGGCGTGATTTTTCGGGTGAATTTAGTAAGAGCGTTGGAGAGTGACATAGGCTACTTTTTACTGTGGGAGATTATCTCATTCCCACAGGAAAACACAATATATAATATAGTCTATCTATTCCATACTAACCGTTAAAAGGTACCTAGGGACCGCGCGAGACCCGCTAATTTTTTATAATCGTAGAAGTATATATAGCTATTAGCTTAGAACTTTTCTTATGAAATGAGTCAACTTTGTTTCCTAGGTGTCTTCCGTTAAGCTTTGTTTTATTCAGATTGGGAGCCTACCAAATACATATGTATGTAAAAAAAATCGAATAGAGTAGGTAAATCGTCAGACTTGGTGTGTATTCAGCCCTCTTTAACGTCCGACTGCTGAGCACGGGCCTTTCAATTCAAGGGGTATAAAGAAGGAAAATTTATATAAATAACTAGCATTGCCCGCGGCTCCGCCCGCGTTTAGATGACCATAAACCAAATTCTTAGGTTTTACATATTAGTATACTCTTACATTGCAGTTTTTGTATTTTTTCTCAGAAATGAGATATTTTTCCGCGGTAAAAAGTATCCTATATGTTGACCCGGATAACCAGCTATCACCATACCAAATTTCATCAAAATCTCTCTTGTGGTTTTTCCGTGATGCGGTAACAGACAGACAGACAGCCAGACAGACATACAGACAGAAAAAATCTAAAAACTATAGATTCGGCCTCTGTATCGATAATAATGTCTATTTCAGTAAGATTTTCCAAAAAATATTTAATGTACGGATTCGGCTTAGAATGTTATTATATGTATAGATTTGGAATTGGGAGTTGTCGTCAAGTGGTTTGGTAGTGGTACCTATGTTTGTAGAATAATTAGTGCAAAGTTTCATAATATTGATAATATTCAAGCGAATATCAGTCCCCCAATTAAAAAAAACATAATGTAATAAATAATACGCAAATAATTTTTGGTATTTGGAGAAATTGCAACTGCGTGTAAAATATAAATGGAATTTAGATTACATTTTGATTCCTGAATAGTTAACGCTATTTTCGGTGTTAATGGGCATTGTTAAATTTCACGTGTTTGGAACATAAAGTGAAAATGATAGAGTATACTTATCAGTCCTTGATTTCAACGATTCCATGATAATATTTTATTCATTATTCCTATACTATATAATTATATCTACTATAATTAAATCATCCTTCAATGAAAATACGACGATGTCAATATATTTGTCTTTTGAGTCCCAAATATGGCAAATTTAATAAAATACGTCCTAGCTTTTTCATTTCTATAGTGAAAGTTAATATTATGCTAGCGAAACTGCTTTATCCTGGGACTCGAACTCCGGTCCCGTGAGTGTACCACTTTACGGTATACAAAGCGATGAATATACGGGGTTAAAATCGTATTTGCCCCTAAATAAAAGGAAGCGAGACAACCGTACAGCGCTCCGATATGAGGTGACTGTGTCCATTATATAGTTTGAATTATAAAAAATATATTTTTATTAAATTATAATTTAAATTCAAAACTTTCAAGTTAGCTTTAAATTACTACAATTGCTTATTGAACGTCTTGAGCCACGTCACGATCAGTTTTAAAGGATATCCAATAAATATTATCTAAATAAATAATTACATCGAATTCAAAATAACCTTAAAAATTATATTGATGTGATCTCGAGGTAAGAAAAATTATTAAAAAAAAAGAAATTCAGTTTAGAACCAGAGTAGATACCACATAACATACTCCTTTATTATTTTACACTGCGTTCAAAAATAACGTATAAAGTAAATATTCTTAAAACAGCTTCAAACTATAAATATCCCAACAAAATAATTTGTTTTAGGCAAATTCAATGAATTCAAGCTAGAGTACAATTTTACTAGGGATGAGTAATGGAGCCACATACATACCGGTACGCCAGTAAGGATGCTTATGATGCGGTGTAGCAGTTTATTTAATTTCCTCAAAGGCATTACGTGGAAAAAGCATGTTTTCAAGTACAAGCTACAGCGCATAGTACTCTTTATTTGCCTTTTATCTAGAAAATATATTCAGATTTTTAAGAGCACGAGACTTTTTAATATTGTCTCTTGTAGTCGCAATTTCGACACTTTCTGTACTTTTCATAGTTGGAAGTAACATCGAAATGAGAAACTTTGGCACTCATAATCAAGGCCTGAATACGCTTAAAATTTTTGGTTTTATTTATACTCTTTCATCTGTTCGAGATTGCGGTTGGCAATAATATTTTATGCTCTTTAAATGATTTTAATTTCTATTATAAGAATACTATTCAATTTTTATGTATTATGTAGATTGCTTTTAATTTGTATAATGATACTACGAGTATAAATTGTTGAAAAGTTATTCCATTTCTATTTTAAGTATTCAGGTTATTTTCTGTTCTTTATCCAGTTTAGGATAAAAAATTATTGATTAATTTACTATGACAAACTTTAACCTCAATCCTTTCCAAAATCAATTAAGACGATACTAAAATATATCGAACGAGTACGAGTTTGCAATATATGTATGCCCATATACCAAAGTTTTCGCGGAATAAAACATCAAACTTTTGTTGTCTTTTTGCTAAATTGAATACAAAAAGTCTAGAACCTTACATGAGACCTACCTATAAACGATGAATAATAAACTACATATTATATACATAAATATACAAAAATAAATTTATGTCAGGATTATTTACAATACCGATGTAACTTTAGTTGTTGTGAGATCGGCTGTGAAGGGTTTTGATGTACTTCGTCTTGAAACGTAGACGTATGATGTATAACATCTAATATATTTAGCATTCGGATGAGATGTACTCGTATTATAAAAGTTAAAGCTTTTTAAATAAAACTATCTTTTCAACAACTTTTTTAAATAAAACAAAAAATTTTTGTTAATTGTGGGTAGGCTGTCTGTAACAACTATACCTCCAAGACATGTAACACCTCAGTCTCTCCCGTGACAATGGATGCTGTAAAGCATTCGAAACGTCGGGAAAGAAAAATGCAAATAAATCCGCGACAAAATCCGAAAAGATAGTTTTATTTAAAATGTCAAATATTCGCGTAAATCTAAGAAAGTATTAAAGTTAAAGCTTATTATAGCTATATTAAGTATTACAGCTTTATGTATGTATATTATAAATACTTAGCACTGAACGAACCAGGGTGAAATACTAATATTGTGTATAACAGATTAAAAATATAAATTTTTAATAGCTTCGCATATACATACATATGTGTATATATGTTCGCATATACCTACTATTATTAAAGTTTGTCTTCATCATACAGCCGACGACATGGTCACGTATCGCCGGTTGGGTCAACACAATCGCAGACACCTTTGTTCTGAAGGTTCGATTCACCGACAATGCGGCAATGCATCAAGTTGATAGCTTGCAGCTAATCCCCCTATATATAGTGTTTGGGCATAATGGCCCTGGTAGCTAATCAATCAAGGCTTTGACTAAGATCTAGGTTCTAGCCATTAAATGTTTATTTATGACTTTAGTATTATGAATTAATAAACTGAATGTAATTAATTTGAAGCTAGTATAGTTTTATATTTATAATACATACCTATATGTACAAAAGCACATTATATGTGTATTTTAATGAAGTATGAAATTAGAGGGATAAAGTATAATGTATTCATTCGTAAATGTGTGTTGGGTCAAACTTTTTTTTTTTGATAATCTCTGATTCTATTTTTAAATCTTTGAAATTTTAACTAATTTAACAAATATTGGCATTGTAAGTTTCTTTTCTCAGTACTCAAAGTATCCCGACGCCGATTTGACTATTCAACCCCGACCGCGCAGATTAAAAGTATGTAAGTATGGGTAATTATGAGTAAGTATGGGTAATATAATCCGTATAAGCATATCCGAGTTAACAAATCTGGACTAAAATATCCGGGCCAACAAATCCGTGGAAACATATCTGTGCTAACATATTCTGAATCAACATATTCGGGTTAATATATCTAGGCTAACATATCCGTGCTATAACATATCTGGCTAACATGTCCGGGCTAACATATCCGGGCTAACATATCCATCCATATTATCAAAGGAAAACTATGTATATGTTATATGTATTATGCCACGATTGTATCATGCCCCCCCCCCCAACGTGCGTTCACCTTGTCGTGGTGGTGGGGGAGGGGGGGCTTAGTAGTGCCCAGCAATACAGCCGGGCGCGAAGCCAAGAAACGCACAGAGAGGTGGCCCACTTCGGTGGGCGGTGGGCGGTGAGAGGCGGCCCTCTTCGGAGGGCGGTGTTCCATGCGGGTTGCTCCTGGTACTTCTCTGATATCAGAGTGGACCTTGGAGCAACCCTGTGGTTGTTGTGGTCTGCTTCGGCAGTCCTGCCGTCAGGGCTTCGTAGTTGAATGCGTAAGCGATCCTGCGAAGCCCCATTAAGACAGGGGAAGGTTTTGTTGGGTTTTAGTGGATAGTACT